TTTTAATAGATATTTTTCAAGATATATAGTTTTGAAATGGATAATCTTTTTGGTACAACATTATCTTAAAGTTTACTTTAAAATGGAAAAAAAAAACTTCATTTTAATAATGGTATTTTTGAATTCACAAGTTTAAATTAAATTTTTAAATCATTTTCAATGTTAAAGAAGTAATCAGTTGCTTCGTAGTTATAAATTATTTAAAATATAAGTAAATTAATCTGATCATCCTCAATTATTAAAAGAAAAGATCACATTCCCATTATAATTTAATGTATGGTCTATCAAAAGTATTAAAACAAATAATAAAAAATAAAAATAAAAATATCTTTTCCTGCATTTTTTTTCTAATCAAATCACCTTCAATAGATTTTTTTACACATTAATTAATATTTAGTTAATTAATAAAAGTAATAGCAACAATAATTATGATATTGAAATTCTATCTATACGTCCACATTATCATATATCCTCGATTCTACGTCATCAATATTCTCATAGTATCACAAAAAAATCAACAAAGTATCACTAATATCGATATAATATTAGTATTAATAATTTAGACTTATTTAGAAATGATGAAGAGCTTATTTATTAATTAAATATTTTTTATTAATTTTTTATTTTAATAGCTTTTTCAAAATAATTCATCTTGCTTCCTTCCTGTGTCTACTAGCCCTCCTGTCCAAAGTGAAAAGAAGGCGAAAAAGCATAGCTGAAACAGCATGAACAGGTTTCTATCGCTATACGACAATAGAGTATGATAACATTTTGCACCCACATGTTTGAATTTGAGAGTTCAAAGCTAGCTTATCAAYATTAAAAACCGTGATAATAACAGTTAAAAAAGTGATTAAAATACTATTTTTGTGTCCATATTTTTAGTTTTGATTTATTTTGATCTCTACTTTTAACTTTTTCTTGTGAGTCATATTTTCAAAATGTTCGTTTTAGGTTTTTTATTTTTAAAGTGATTATTTTTGTGCCAAAACGAGCATAGTTTAGTAGTAATTGATAAATAGAGTAGTAATTGATAAATACATTCAATCATGAGAACGTGAATTCGATCCCCACTCGACATGTTATACCTCTAAAAAAAAGTGATTGTTTTGATCGGGGATGGAAACGGCGCCGTTTGGGAGCTAAAGAGCTTTAACAGTCTCGTATCGTCTCTCTGGCTCAGCGTGGATTTCACCATTTCTGTGAGTCTGCAACTCAATAAGAATGCTTCTCTCCATTGTACACACCACCTTCACTTCTCCATACCAATACACCGCCTTCCCCTTCCATTTTCACAGCCTCCATTCCATCAATTTGCTCCCCAGAACTCTGTTTCCTGCTTTTGGAACCGAACCCACAAATACCCTCAAAGCATTTCTCCACTTTCACCAAACATCGAAGAAATCCCACTTCAGTACATTCACCTCACTCACCACCACTCGTGCTTCTCTTATCGAGGCCCCAATTTTGTGGGCTGGTAGAATTTGCATCTTCTACGCCCTCTTGAGAGCTGGTTTCGCTGGATCTCAATCCAACCCTCTTGTCTCAGGTCTGGGTCTCTTCTTCCTTTTTATGGTGCTTTTTGTCTCTTTTAATTTTGCCCCTTTTGTGATTGTGGGTTCTGGTTTTTATTGGGAAATTTTGTGTTTGGTTTTTCCTCCCCAGATTTGGATGTTTCCTATGGTGGTGGTGCTGCTGGGGAAAGTGGCAGTGATTTGGGGTTTTCTAAGTGGCTGGAGAGTGTTAGAGGAAAGCCAGGTTTGTGGGCACTCTTAAATTTGCTTGAGTTTTACTCTTTGTTTAGATTTTGATGGAATTAAATGCAGTAGGATTTTTATGTTTCTCTGGCTGTTTTGAGTTTATTTTACAAATTTATGAACATACTAGACTGAGCAATACCTGTTATGATGTCAATTTATCAAATGAAGAATGTAAATTCAATGGTTTGCACTTATCAGCTGTATTTTTATTTGGTTTGGAATTTATGAAGGGATTAGATTCTAAAAACTGACAAAGAAATTATTCAATGCGGGTGCTATTATATATATAGAGTGGTGCCTCCTATGATCATGAGATACATGGTTAAAAAGCGTTTCTCGATCTATCTTGTAGATCACAGTCGTAAATGCGACAGCCACATTGAATAATTTATTTATTTTAGCGGTTTGATATAGATGTAGAGCTTTCTGGAAGTTATTCTTTGGCCTCTTTTAAGCCTTTCCTCTGTTGAATCTTGAATGCGAGCTGGCAAACTATCTACGAATCTATGTGATTCCATATTTTTTTTGCAGTCTTTCAGCAGTTACATTTCAACCCTTCTTACAATATCGTGTTTAATTTGATCTACATCTCCTTAATGGTTTGCTTGGGAGTCACTGCTTATTAATGAAAGGGTTGAATAGTTCGGGGACTTTGTGACGTTTCATCGGTTTTCTCTGTTAACTGACACCAAAGAAAGAAATGTGACATTCTTTTGAGTGTTTCCTTCAAATGTATTCAGTTTGGTAACACTCACTATTCACTACTTGTGTTTATTTTAACTCGAGACTCGAAATTTGTCCGTTGTGATTGAAGAGGACTGGCGTTTATTCAAAATAATGAGACAATTTGCACCACTTTCATATATTAGGCTACTAATTTGCTGTTAGTACTAAAAAATTCTGCTCTTTGGACTATAGTTAGTTGCTTTGTTGAATAATATAACTAGATTTAGAGTTTTTCTATGTGAAACATCTGTGCTTAAGGAACAATGGGGAAGTTATCTGTTCGGTTCTCCTTTTGTAATCTCGGGTTATTGTAATCTCGGGTTAGATAACCGAGTAACTGAGGGCGAAGGTGTTCTTTTTTTCGTGTTTGAAAATTATCAGTGACATTCATCAACATCAACAAAAAGCAATTTTGTAAAGGATGCTGTCTAAGGAATCTGTTCATGAATCTCAAACAGAATTAGAACCCTTTTGGTGTTTTATTTCCACTTTAACATCTAGAATTTGGGGGTGGACGATTATTCATTCTACTTTTTTGTTTCTATTGACAGTGGATGAAGCAGCTGATAAAAGGAAACTAGTGAGCAAATGGCATCCTACCACGAAGGGCACTCTTCGGAGGAATTATCGGGTGCCTTCTAAATCCGAAGGACGACGACTTCTTAAAGCCATTGCATCCCTGCTTTCTGACGACGATCACTTCATCGACGCCACTTCACACAAGGTTCGATAACAATCCTAGAACTCATTAGTTCATTTCTATATGATGCCTGGTATCCATCCCATTCACACTTCACTCTCACAAATCGTTTCTTGTTCGTTTCATGATTCTGGTATCATCCCGTTTCACACTTCACACACGCAAACCGTTTTGTTTTCGTTTCATGATTCTCAAAGACATCACGATGTATAGAGCATGGTGTTTTTTGTTATAAACAAGTGTGAGGTTGGGATTTGTAGGGCTGCCAAATCAGGAGGGAAAGTGCTCATGGAGAGAGTGTTTGCTGTAACAATGTGAGAGCTCTGTTTGATGAGCTTCCAACTCCACATCTTATTGTGGAAATAACTCCATTCCCTGCTGGGCCTCTCAATCAAAAGGATTACACCAAGGCTGAGAAACTAGAGAGAGTGCTCAGATCTGGCCCCTCTGTTTGAAATATTTCTTACTTCTTCTCTGTATTTTATACCTCTACTTCTTTGTACAGTGTTCAAACTCAAACTAATCCATCGATAGGGGCGTCAATATTGCATAATGTCGGTGTGAAACGTTTCTTAGACATTATATAAGGGATTGCCTTTTGGGTGCCCTAAAACATATTCCGCATTCGATCCTTCTACTTTTTTAGGTGTGTCCGATAGCTTCCTTGAATTTTCGATTTTGTCTCTAATAGATCCAACTTATTAAATATTTTATTAAAGTTCAGTGAACAAGATTTTGTGAACACAACATTGAAAGTTTAAAAGACTAATTAAACATATTTTCAAAAGTTCATATAATTTAACTAAGATATTACATCTACTAAAAACAACATTCAGTGAAGTCTCTAGCAGTTGTTTAAACTGCTGGGTACTTGGATACAGGATATAAAGCAATATTCAAAAATTCCATAAACTGTTAATTACTAGTTAAGCAAATAAATCTTTTTTAAGTATAATATGTGAATGTGAGAATTCAAACTCACGAGAGGTAGGTGCTTTAGCCAATTGAGATATGTTCAAGTGGACGGATAACTATAATAAATATGAAATTTACAAAAGCCTCAATTCATATCAATACACTACAGCGTTTGTGAAGGTAAAACAAACTTTTAAAAACACAACACAAAAAATATCTCAAAACCCGAGAAATTATTCAACGTGGTCAAGGTTAAAAATCTTCTTCATTTCTATCATAAAGTGATAGCCACAAGGTCGATCACATCTGAACGAATCCCCTTCACAACCATTCAAATTCTTTGCACTACAATACCAATGATTAATATCTGTGGTCTGATCTCAATTTCAGAGCTATAAACACAACATATGTAATGAGATCTTAATCCTTGAAGCTGATAAGGAACATAGTCCACCATCATTCTGCTCATTGATGTCATCAATGGATGAATTCTGATGAAACTCAACTACAGCAAAAGCCAATTGGAATTGCTTCAAATCCCAGTTTCTTTCATAAACGACTCGAAAAAGCAATAGTTGAGTTGAGTTCTAACCAGAATGATCAATCGGATTTATGAAGCAATAGCATGGTCACCAGCGACCTGACGATGCTTCCATATCATAGCTAATGGGAACTAATCATGTGAAAGGGTAGAAATTCGAAAAAAGCAGACTACCGAGAAGAATGTAAGCAACGGAGTATGACCAGATCACATATCCCCATCTCTTAAAGCGACCAGGTGAAACCATAATATATGAGGCAAACCAATAGAGAGGAGGGCTGGCAGAGAGAAACCGTGTTGCGACCTGTCCAGTTCCAGACTATGAGATACCGAGCTTTAAATGACAAAAGAAATCTAGAACCTTTTGATAGATTATTTATTTTGCCTGGGATTCATTAACCAAGGTTTGGAATATGAAATTTTAATTTGTTGGGAAAGATGTATAAGTACGTACCTAACCTATACCAGTCTATCTTTATCGGTAAACATCATTTCCGGATTCTTATAAGATAGTTTACGTCTTATAGGCTTAGCTTCAAGAAGTCATGAACACCAATTCTATAGAGTTCTCCCAACACCAATATTACGAAAAGTTATAATATCTAATCTTCCAGAGAATACAATGATCATATGCAAAAGGTAAATTCATAATTTTCAACAATCCACACATTTTATACTCTTGTTTGGATTAATTGATTTCATACTATTCAATGTTTTAAAAGGCTAGGCTCCAAACGAGACAAATTTTATCTTCAACACATGCCCAATTTGATTTGTCAGATGCTTATGCTCCTCAAAGAAGAGGCTTATGCCTAATGAACTGAAGCTTAGAGTGGAATAATAATGTAAACATATTGTCCATTCTTCAAAATATATAAGTCTGATTAAGTATATAACATTAATACAACATGAGATATAGTTGTTCAGCATATATGGCTTTAGAAAGCACTGTAACTTTAATAAACACGAAATACAAAAAGTATAATTAACATATGGCTTTACATTTTTATGTTTTTATGAATATATGTTTTAATTTAAAATGAGGCTTTTCCTCATACCTTCTCAAGGCGTAGGTCTCACTCCTTCAAGGGAGAAAAACCGTGAGACCACCCTTAGTCATCTAAAACATCCAAACCATCAATATTTCTATTGTTATATCTAGAAAACACTTCTCATCAAAGTCCATTTGGTTCAAGTTTGAGAACTATTGCCTCAGTCAAATTCAAAGCAGTTGTTTACAAAATCTGCTATTACTATATAAATTAAAAAAATATTAAAACAGGATTTATAAAAACGATAATGCTGTGGAAAAAATAAAATGATGCACATGCTATAACAGAAAACAAGCAAACGAGTTTTCTTCAGCAGGCACTATATATATATATATATATATAAATTTTTACAAGTACAAACTGTGGAGAGGAGCCAAACCTGTACATGCATGACAAAAAATGCCGTGGCCGCCATAAATCCCGTATGTAGGATAAATGGAAGTACAAAAGCAGAAAAGTATCCCGACCCCATGGATGGTTTATCCTCTACTGGAAGATCAGCAGGATCCTGTCCAATAATCTGCTTTCTCCGCCTAAGATTCTGATTTCCTATGAGATAATAGCTTAAGGTGCATGGAAACTTGCAACAAAACACAGAATGCGAGGGAAAGTCGAGAAAAAAAAATCACGCCAATTCAAAACTTCTTACTGCTTGGACAACATGCAAAATTATTGCATTGCCGTTATTTAATAAGAAGCAATACCTTGTATCCTGGAGGAATATGCCACCGCAGGCTGAGGTATGTTTGACCTTGAAGCACGTTCTGGAAAGTAAAGCATAGCTGCAGAATTTCTATCCTCGGCAGCAGCTTGGAAGCCCACCGACAACAAAAGCTTTGGCTTTGACTTCGCATAATGAGCAATAGAGAAAGAAGCCAAAGATAAAATTGGGGATGCAAGTAGAAAGTTTGGCAGCTGTTTGAATTGGAAATATCTTAAGAAACCTACTCCCCTGCCATCCCAAAAAGACATGTAAAGTTAGATGCCTAAAAGAGCATTAACAATGTCAATTAGATTAGAGATAATGCAAAATCTAACAAAAAGTTGATAATCAATTCCAAAACAAAATAAATATTATTAAAATATTGTCTTGTGATAAAGGTTTATGAAGAAAAATGAAAATTAATACGGTTTCCCACTCATATATTGATGTTGGGAAGTTGTCTACATCTTTCTTTTTTTTTTTGACAACCGGAAGTCAGAGTTTTGCTCTCCTATACCCAAGGACACCCACGCTTGCCTCAAGGCTCAACCCCGGAGAAATCAAAGATTTTTGGTATTAAGCTCACCAGAAGATTTGAAGAAGGTTCGAACTTGAGACCTCTAAGCCAATATGACTAAGAGACCGCAAGATCTTGCCAACTGGGCTGCCCCTTGTGGCAGAAGTTGTCTACATCTCTGCATTTGCAATTTGAATAATTTGAATTCCGGTTAGAATTTTCATGCAGTGGTTGGAATCCTAGTCTGCTATTTTGTTCCATAATTTTTCATCCAAAAAGAGGATACTTTATCCTTTTGTCTTAGCATCCTCGTTCTTTCTTAATTTTTCTTCATTGATAAAAATTCTACATTTTTTTTTATCAAACACAAAAAGTAATTGAATACCCTTTCGAGTTGGGTTATTGAGTTATTCTATTTGATAGTTTGATTATTTACTGATTTTCCTTGACCGCAAGTTCTTGTAATTCCCAACTATTTCAAATATTTCCAAATGAGAAGTCCTAAAATTACAGGATGATGAGGAGATATAGAAAAGAAATACAGAGTCTCACACCTACAATCTATCAGATGAGGCACTAGATATTAGGGCACTGCAATGCATACTAGGCGCATTAAAGCTACAGAATACCGATAGAGTTTGCTCTATTATTTAGATACTAGAGGGAAATTACAGACTAAGGGAGTATTACCCTTCCTCCTAACATATTTCTTTATGATCGGGGGTCTATCAAATACCAGTATGAAGTTAGGAGCATGAGCAAGTTAAGAAGAAGACAATACCAGTAATGACTTTGAACAAAATTGTATAGCAGAGGTACCCTTGCTTTACACCATGGCCTCAATTCATCTGGTAAGCGTCCACTGCAGATGTTGTAATACCCATATGCTTGAAACACAACAAATGGCCCAAATATACAGAGACAGTGAAACGCTCCAGTAATTAGAACCTGCAATGTCCGCTGGAAAAAAATAAGAAGCTAATAAGAATGCAATATTGCTGAGCATGGAAAGAAGTTGGAAATAGACCATATGAAGAAATTGATTTTCTAAGGAGTTTCAAGGTTCCAGATCTGCCTGCCCAACTCAGAAGGTAAAAGCACGTTACTTTTATGATTTTATTATTTATAAATGAGTGCTTAGTAACGAAACAAAAAGAGAAAAGAAGAAAGAGCCACCACTTACACATGACAACAGAATTATTCTTCAATTCAAACTAGCAATAGAACTTATGATTGGAATATGAGCTAATACTTAATGAAAAAGCACTAAGACTTGAGAGAAACATTCTAGCCCATTACTCAGTTTTTCTCTTACATAAAAGTATTAAAAAAATCTATATAGCGATAGGATAATTGAAGAAAGAGCTTGATAAATAAATTGAAGACAGCTAAATTTAAAGAAGGGCATTATTTGTTCTATACCAAGATTACTCATCAAGAGAAAAAGTACAGAGTCTATTATCTATAATTTAGCAAGGGACACCTTACAAGCACGCATTTCTTCAGACAAAGAGCATCATAAGCCCAATGCATAGTCAGAAAACAGATATAACCAGCATTGAGCACTCCATTAGACCTAGCACAACCAGACAGAGCGAGCCAAAGAGCAGAAACACTATTTCTGCCACTCATCAAGTGATATAATCCTCCAAATGAAAATAAAGAGTATAGACTCTCAGTATACCTGAAATTACAAGCATAAACCATAATCAAGTAAACTTTTTAAGCACGAAATGATATCGAAAGCAAAAGCCACTTACAGTGATGAATAAAATATAGAAGCTGGATTGAAGCAAAATAAAATAGAAGCCCGCATTGCTGCTTCCGCGTCCTTCAAAATAATAAGTGAAAGCCTGTTAGAGCGACCAGGTAGTAGAAGTCAGAATTATACATAAAACGAAGCAAGAAAGTAAAAATCCATGCGAAAAATCAGAGTATAAACCTACGTATTTACTGGCCAAGACTTGTAATCTCAACAAACCCACCTGAAAAGATAACGTGCTGCAAGCACAAAAGCAATGTTATTGATTACATATCCGGATAGTCCCAACACAGCTCTATGCCCAATTACCGGAACCAAAGGCGATAGCACTGTAACAAAATTAGCACCGCATTAACAAAAATACAAATACTACACCAAGTTAATTATAAGAACCTATCATTCAACCGCAGGGACAATAAAATCCACAACATAAACAATCGAACAGGACGGGAAACAATGAAATTGCAAAAGGAAAAAAAAAAAAAAAAAAAAAACCCTAGCAAGTAAGCCCACCAATTCAGTGAAGCAAAAAGCGAATCGAGTATAATTAGCAAACCTGTGCGAGACAGCAGGGAAATGCAGAGAGGAAGAAGGGGCAAAAAAGCGTAGGATTTCTCATATTCATAACCACACTGGGCGATGCGGACGAAGTAGACGCCATCCCAGACAATGCTGCTCTCAATGGCAGATCCAATTGCAGGAAACAGAGCTGGTTGTTCGGCGAGAGGCGAAGATGATGGATCGATCAAGCAAGTAGGATTCAGAGATGCGGAGGTGTCGTAAGGGCTGAGGAGAGCGCGCCAGAAAATGATTAAGAAGAGTAGGAGGAGCCGCGAGGCCATGGCGGATGCAAGAACGATGCGTTCATAGCCGGAATTTGCTGCAGGTTTATTGATCGCCATGACTACAGAGCTCCGATTATCATGTGAAATGGAGAAATTGGCGGTTTCCTGAGAATTTTTTTTCTCGTTTCTTTGAGAAAACGGCGATTCGGCGAAAGCTTAAACAGAACTCGAGGCATTCAATTTTTACCCATTAAATTTCGCGATGAACTCTCAATATATCCCATTTAATTTTTCTTAGTACAAGACTTCGGAAAGGATATCCCATTAAATCTTAAACTTAGCTACGTAATTTTTGTTAATTCACTCACTGATTTTAATAAAAATTAATATAAAAACTAGTTTCATGAAAATCAATTTATAATGGTTAATCTTAATAAAAAACAAAATCATTAATGGTTAATTGTCAACTAAGAAATAATATTGATAGTTAATTATTATCATGGTGATTTTTTATTTAGAGATTAATTTTTAAAAAAATTAAACGAATTATGCTTTTTTTTTTTAATAAGAAATGACTTCATTAAATTAAGTGACGGACAACATTTGAAGGGAAATCCCTTTGACTCTCCATTTTTGGGCAGAGAAATTGCAAATTCTGGAGGAGTGGTTGAGAGATGAGAAATCTCCATCAGCCAATTTTGTTCGTCTCCCATGGTATGCAGCTCCTTCGGAATCATCCAAATCGCCATTAAAGAATCGGACTCGACTTCAAGGCGAGAGACTGGAGAAAGAGGCCGCAAATTTCAAACCCTCCAAGATACCTCTAATTTCACAAATACGAGTGTTTACTAGTATGAGATGTGAATGGAAGTTGCAACAACCAGGGCATTCGAAAAATCTCGAATGACAACCAAAGCTCGTTGAATCATCTCTGCACGCTGCATCGATGTTTAATTTCAAAGAAATATCCGATGGAGGCTACCATTGATGAACACTTTGACGYGAGGTCGGCCGATTTCGAGGTAAAGAGATACTCATCTAAGCTTGTAAATAAGTATTGAGATATGAATTTTTACATTCGCACTTAATTTCAGAGGGATGTTTGATTTCCATGAGTGAAAGAGTTACGATCATTCCATATGCCCCAACAGGTAACAGCCGCCAAATTTAATTCATTTCGTTCTAGATGATCCGAGAGAAACCTCCAATACTCCAAAAAACTATGGTTGACTTGTGTAGGGAAGTAAGGCAGAGAAGGGAAAAGGATCCTCCAAATCTGGCATGCACGTTTGCAATGGAAAAGAGCATGAGTAGAGGTCTCCCGCCTTGCGCCACAATGAGTACAGCAGGTAACACATCGATTCCTCTTGAATGTAGATTTTGGGCTGTAAGAATGTGTTCATGTGCTGCTCTCCGAATCAAGATCTTTATTTTTGTAGGAACATTAAGCTTCCAAATAGAGTTTCATTACGCCCCCTGCAATCCGTGCTAGTAGAAGTTTTGTTACATTTTAGATGCAGCTTTGTACCCATTACGAATACTATAGTTTCCTCTCTTATCATAGTGTCAAAGCCACGAATCTTGTAGGTTGTCACAAAAGAAATGTGAAATCAATGTAGCATCCCAATTTTCGTCTGGAGCAATCAAATTTGCCACTGTGATATCCAAAGCTCCATTGTTGACCGATAAATGTTTGAAAGTAGGGGATCTTGTAAGCCATGGATCAGATAACACCTTAATTAATTGAAGATCCATTTCCCACACGTAATCTTAAACCTTTCACTAGAAGATCTCGTCCCCACAGAAAGCCTCTCCAAAAATAGGAGGAATTGGTAGATTTTGTGGCTTGAAGAAGAGTAGTGTCCTTAAATACTTAGATTTCAAAACCTTAGAAGCTAAAAGGTTTGGGTATCGGAGGATATTAATCAAAACTTAATTATATATTTTTATTGATAATTGATCAATTTGGACGGAGAATTCGAACTCATGATCTTTTAATAGGTATCAATCAAAATAGGTATCTCAATCAGTTGAGTTATATTCAGGTAAGCAACAATTAACAATGACTCTAAATAAGTAATTACCAAAATTATTTCTCGGTTACAATTAACCATTTAGGGTTGCTTTTCTAAAGTTTGATTAAATTATAGTTATAATGTTTTTTTTTTCAATATGATCGGTAGGAGTGGGAATTCGAATTTAAAAGCTTTTGTCGGACATAAAGTATCTTAACCCACTCAGATCAACTTGATCAATGTTATTTAATTTGTTTTATTTTAGCTATTACATTTTTGTAAATATCTTCTTTTTAGTACAACGCGTAGGAATGAGAAATCGAACTCACAACCTCTTGGTTGTAAATATCTTAAATCTGAATCTATCTTAAAATTTAATTAACTAATTAAATAGTGCTATATAAAAATCTGTGCGGTACTATTTTGACTTTCAATTTTAATTTATGCTAGTGTGTAATATCAATTTTATATTTTCCAAAGCAAGTATAGCTCAACGGTAATTGACATATATATCAAACTAAACTAAGAGGTTGCGAGTTCGATCCATCATCTCCACATATACTACAAAAATATCAATTTTATAATTTCATTTAATTAGATAATTAACATTGAAGACTAAATAAATAGTTAAATGAATGTTATATTCACTAAAAAAGAAAAGGAAAAAAAAACATAGTATAGATACTAGAATTGTAAAGGTCCCTTTTTTTTTTGATAATAGAATTGTAAAGTTAGAAGTTATTTATAACGGTTTCATTCTTGTTTCCAATTTGAAAAAAAAAAAAGAATAAAAATAAGAATTTTGTAACTATTTCTAACTATTTCTATTTTTTATTATTCATTTTTAAGAAATGTTCTTTTTTTTTTTTGAAATCATTTTTAAGAAATGTTCTAAAGCATATACAAATTTTGGAAACGATAAGATCTGGTTTATGGTTTTTTCTTCCAAAATTTTAAAAATATAAATAAAAGTATTAATTATTCTATATTTTTTACTCCTAAGATGAATAATAAATATAAAAAATTAAAGTATACAGAAAATAATTTTGAATATTACATTTTTAAGAAATTAGTTTAGTATGCAATTTTTTTTTAATTTAAGATTTTAGAAAATATGATAGAACTATAAATTTTGGTCAATCATAAACGATGTCAAAATTATATTTTATTAAATTTGGGGACGATTATAAATAATCTGTAAATTAAAATAATGACAAGTATCTTTCATGGGCTCTTTACTGCTTTAGGTTGGATAATCCATTGAATGATATTTTGGTTTGAAATCCAAATTACCATAACACTATTATGATGAATAATAAATATAAAAAATTAAAATATATAGACAATAATTTTGAATATTACATTTTTAAGAAATTAGTGTAGTATGCATTTTTTTGGTAGACACCGTATTTGGTCCGGCTCGCTTTCGTTTAAAAAAAATTATTACCTTTTTCTTTTTTACCGTTATTTAAGTGTATTTAAAGAGGGCTGCAATGGAGAGGAGGGGAAGATGCCAGAGAGGAGAAAAAAATCAAATCATTCACTTCTTTTTTTTTTACCATCATCTTCTTTTCTTCTTCACCTACACGGTGACCTCTGACCACGATCAACTCCGATCAACTCTGGCAGTGACGCAAATTAATTCCGACGAACCCGTTCGGATATACACCTCATCGACCCGCAACATTCCGGAACCTCTGTTTAAAACTACCTAGGTGAGAAGGTGAGTTCGGGATAGAAAAAAAGGAAACTTTTTAGCTTTAAACAGAATATTTCTTTAAGAGAAGAAGATAACGTTTTTTCAAAACTATATTATGGAGAATGCAAGTGTTTTTTATTAAATAATAATAATAAGAAAAACGTTGTTTTCAGAAGAGAATTATTTTTTATAAAGGTTTTTATTAAAAACGACAAAGATTTTTTAAAAAGAAAGAAAATAAAAGATTTTGAAAATTTAAATTTTTATTTAAAATAGTAAGATTTGTTTCTTTCCTTCATTTTTTTTAAGATTTTGTTTTACATCTTAAATAATAATTTTTAAAAAGTAAGTAGAGATTTGTTATTTAGTTGGTAAAAAGTGAATAAGATTTTTTTAAAAAAAAATATATTTGATTTTAAATAGAAGATTCTTTTTTTAAAACGAATTTCAAATCCCTAAAATAATTTTTTTTAATTTTCATTAATATTTTTGTCTTTTTTTAAAATACAAATTTTGAAGATAAACTTTGTTGTTTAAAAAGACATTTGTACGGTATAGTGGCAAAAGCATTGGGTATTGAAATAACAAGCCGAAGTCTTCATGTGTACCTCAAAATGATTTTTTTTACTTTATTTCATTTTTTTCATTGTTTTTACCAAATAATCATTTTAAATAAAAGTTTTTTTTATTCTTTCTAAATAAAGGATTTTCATTTAATTTTTTTAAACAAAATTTAAAAATAAAAAGTTTGAATTATAAAAGAATTTAAAGTTCATAGGTGATGACGCATTGGCAAGGCACTTGGTTATTAATACTCATAGCTCAAGTTTGAATCGGGCCTCAAATTAAATTTTATTTCATTTTTTTAATCATTTTTTAAATAATTATTTTGGAAGCTCGAAATTGGGACTTTCCAATATTCTCGGGGATAATTTGTTTTTTAATGGTCTTTGCGCCACTCATGCTTGGTTCATATTTTGCGAAATATGAACCAATAAATTTGGGACATTTAAAATCAAACACAAAACTATTTTTTCTTTTTTGACCAAATATAATAGGATAATTTTCGACAAAATATGGTACCGTTTTCGAACGGGTGTCGTAGGGTGCTAACACCCCCTATGCTCAACCAACTCTAGAACCAAAATTCTGTTTTCGTATACTAAGTTTTTTTAAATAGGTGATCAATCACACCTTGTAGATGATTGGTGGCGATTCCAAACCCTAATCTCATCAGGGGATGACGTCAGCCGCTCCACGTCGCAATGACGTTGCGACATTTTTAATTTAAAATTTTAGAGGATATTGTAAACAACCACTGCCAAAATTATATTTTGGGGCCGATTATAAATTATTCCTAAATTAAAATAGTGACAAGTGTTTTTCATAGGTTCTTTGGATTTGATTTAATTAGTCGAAATGGACCATAAAAAATTAGGTTCATAATCAATTTAATTCACAAATCTATGGATGATATTTTGGTCTGAAATCCAAATTACCATATAACTATTATGGTGAATTGATATTCAAATTTGCACAAGTCTAAATCAACTCAAAG